AGCTATGGCATGGGAGGGTAGAGGTGAGCTGTGTCTTAAATGTCATTTGAAGTCCCCAGGGGGAGCCAGGCCTGCCAGTCCCTTCACTGCTCCCGCCCGCCCTCAGGGCACCTGTGCTACCTGGCCCTCTGGGCTCTCCCTTCGTAGCTGTCAGCTGCAGTGGGGTCAGTTGCAGGTGACAGCTATGAAGAGCCTACAGGTGACCTTACAGGCAGTCCCCTGGAAAAATAGACACAGGTCTGTTTTTCCAGGGGACCGACACGTGGCCAAAGCCAAGAAACTGATGGACAACCTTCTGAACAAAACCTGTTACCACCACCTGACCTTCCCAGCCACCAGCTCCTCACAGCTCGGCTCCATCGAGATGGAGCTCTCCCTGGCCCAGCGCATCAGCGTGGTAGGTGCAGAGGGCAGCTGTGGCCGACAGGCGAAGAGGCAGCTCATGCCCAAGCCCTAAGCAATCATTGTCCAGAGGAATGAAATGACCAGAGTTGACTTAGACTTACCGATACATGGCAGGGAGACGGCAGGACAGTCCATGAAGCTTGTAGGTGTCCAATATTTAATGAAGTCATGGTTTTATTAACAAAGAAGAAATGAGGGTGGGAGCGGGATGGCCACTGGGTGGGCAGCCAATGGGCCTGCACAGACTCCGCTCAGCTGAGTCTCCAGCACGACCATCAGCTTCTCATCCTCACAGCCCCACCCTATGCTGTCCTCCAGCTTGCAACACGTGACCTTACAGGCTCCCAACTTGTCGGAGAAAAAGACTGGGGAAACGGATGGATACAGAGGCCCAGGTGTAGGGGCAGGACCAGAGGCAGCGCAGCGCCTACTGAGACAGGTAGGTGAGGGTCTGGACGGTGGGCATGGCTGCTGCAGGCATGAAATGGACGCGCAGACGGCAGCACTCCCAGGGACCAATGTCAGGGTCTCCATATGTGGGTGTGTGCAGAGGTGGGGTGCTGAGGGCGGAGGTGCAGGGAATTTCTCCTCTCTAATGACTCTGAGTTGGAGATGTCCGAGGGACCCATGGCCCACTGTCAATTAACACAATGTCCCCACCCACAGGGTTAGAACCCCACCCCCGGACGCAGTTCTGAGGGGAGCATTGATATGGGGAGAGTGCAGGATCTGTGTCCAGAAGGGAGAAGGTCACCAAGGAGGCTGACCCTGCTCTGGCCAGGTGGCTGCCTTCTGACACACCAGCCTCTCTGTAGCACAGTAGTAGGCCCATACACACCCAGCCTGTCAAACTACAGCCCTCAAGAAGGCTTTGGCCAAATTAATGAGCAGCGCCCTCTCCCGGGAGGAAGCACAGCTGACGTTTGGGGCGGGCAGTAGAGCTGTGTACACTCAGCTCCCTCTCGCCACGGTCAGGCAGGAAGGCAGGTGGCCTTCAGCCAGGCTCCCCCAGGCCAGGGTCTAAGTGTCAGTGTCTCGCCAAGGGCTTCTGGCTTAAGGAGGGAGCCCAGCTGCTGCCATGCAGCTGCCACCCTAGTGAGGGTGAAGGAGCAGGAGGCTCCGCTGCACCTCCAGGCTCAGGCTGCCTGGCCAGATCTGGTCTGTGGGCCCTGTAGGCTGGTGGAAGCCATCAGGAGAAGGAGGGGATGCAGCTGCCAGGCCCCACCCCTGCGAGTTGAATTGTATTTCTGAAAGCTTGGGTATACAGTGAGCATTAGGCTGTGGGATGCTGGGCCGGGAAGGAGTGTTTGTTTTTCAGGGGTCATCTACTGAATTGATGGAGGAGGATTATAGGCACAACCAGCTGAGAGCTGGACAATTTGAGACAGCAGGCAGAAATGGAATTTAGCGCTGGGGAAGGAAGCAGGCTTGTGAAAGCAGCTCTCCTGGGGAGGCCAGAGTCCTGTGTCAGTGTCCTCAGCATGTTCAGCAGCTGCTGGGGGAGTGCAGGACAGGATTGAAGCCCAGGAGAACTTTCTGGATGATAGAAATATTCTATATCTTGAAAGGAGATGGGCTATATGATTAATGCATTTGTCAAAACTGATCCAAATGTATACTTCAGATCGAGGCATTTGTCTTAAAAACATTTTTTAAAAGACAGATGGGCCGCATGCAGTGGCACACACCTGTAATCCCAGCCCTTTTAGGCGGCTGAGGCAGGGAGATCACCTGAGAAGCTCGAGACCAGCCTGGCCAACATGGTGAAATCCCGTCTCTACTGAAAATGCAAAAATTAGCCAGGCATGGTGGCACACGCCTGTAATCCCAGCTACTTGGGAGGCTGAGGCAGAACCACTTGAACTCCAGGAGGCGGAGGTTACAGTGAGCTGAGATCACAACATTGTACTTGAGCCTGGGCTAAGCCTCCATCTCAAAAACAAAAGACACATGAAAGTTTTCAACTTTGATTAAAGGCAGAGTAGCTGGTTATGGATTAGCCTCCCCACAAGAACAGTCAGAAAAACTGGACAAAACTGTGCCACCCCCCGCCACCCAAAAACAATTGTTGGAAGTTAACTGGAGATCATGGCCAGGCCTAGAAGGTGACCCCAACAGTCTGTAGGGGTTTTCCCCACATTTGGTGATTGGTAAACAGCATAGGGCTAAGAAGCTAAGGAACTGACTATGAAGGGATAGTAAGAGGCTGGAAGGCCGAGCTGAATGTTTGGCACTTTCACAGGGCTGAAATGACATCATGAGAATTTGGGCCCCAGTAAAGAGATGAGACCTAGGTGGGGACCCTGGAAGGGCCACCCCTAGGAGTCCAAATAAAGAGACCAGCTGTCACAAAACCTAAAACCTGCTTTGAACCAGCTTAGTCCCAAACTCGATGATGGTGATCTGCCCTGACTCCGACTGTGTGCCACAGGGTCAAAGTCAATACTCTCTGGAGGCAGACACAGGTTTACTAGGCATGACATCAGACCAGACTAAAGGAGAAAGACTGAGAGAAAAAAAGACAATAGAAACCCACACAGATATGAGAGTCCTCAGGTAGAAACTTTAAAATAACTTTTATTGTCATAGTAAATTTTAACTATTTTACCATTATTATTATTATTATTATTATTATTTAAGACAATCTCTGTTGCCTAGGCTGAAGTGCAGTGGTGCGATCCCAGCTCATTTCAACCTCAGCCTTCAGGGTTCAAGCAATTCTCCTGCCTCAGTGATCACCCTACCTCAGCCTCCCAAAGTGCTGGGATTACAGGCATGAGCCACCACACCCAGCCAGTATTTTATAACAACTTAAATATTTTTTTCTTTTCAGGTTGGTGCTTGGAGCATATTTACAGTCCCATGGTGGCTTATAAATCTCTGGGCCTTGGTGACAGTACCTGCTTTTAGATGTTAATCATCCTGATCTTCCCGGCTCCATAGAAGAATGGCAGGCAGGGGTTGCTGCCTAAGCCTGCTTGCTCCTGAGGGTTCCGGATGGCAGCTTCCACGTGCTCCTAAGTGGTCAGGAAAGAGAGTGAGAAGGTAGGAGGTTGCCAGGCTGCCCCCCTCAGGGCCCTGCCTTCAGCAACTCCCTCATTTAGGTCTCCTGCAACTGTTGGTGCCACCTTGGCCAGCGCTTTGCCCTGAGCTTCCTGCTGCTGCAGCTGGTCCACAAGCTGAACCTGCGGCAGTCACTGGCTGCGCAGCACCTCCCTGTCAAAGGTCAGCTGCTGAGAGGTGGCCACGAACTGCTGCAGGAGATGCAGGAACTAGTCTGGCTTCTGCTGATGTAGACTCTGAGCCTCTTCAGCTCCACCAACAGGATAGGCATCAGGGCAGGTAGTGGCTAGCTTCCAGATTCTGGGCCCATAACATAGCCAGAACACTGTGGGGCTCTGTCACCTACACAAGCCCCTAGCCCAGGGGTGCCCAAACTTTTTACACAGGGGGCCAGTTCACTGTCCCTCAGACCGTTGGAGGGCCGGACTATGCAAGGTGTGACACCCTTCACAGCCAGCGCTGCTGCCTCCACTGTCCCAGACAGCGGTGTACAGCGTCACAGGCCCAGCACCGCCTCCAGTGCTGTATACAGGGATGGCGGTGATCAGCCTGTGACACTGTGTATACAGCGTCCTGGACATCTGCAGCAGCGGTGGGCCTCTTCTGTGGGAAGCCCACTGCTGCATGTTTCCCCCATTATAAGACACCTCCTAAAAATAAGACAGGCTCCATCTTTTGGGGGTAAAATTAATATAAGACAGGGTCCTATAATAGGGGAAACACGGTGTGTAGCAATGTGGGGGGAGACTTTTGGGCAAAGGGCGGTTATAGGGGCCATTATGTTGTTGTACATTTGGGGGAGTATGGGGCCATTATACTGTGTAGTAATGGTTATAGTGCTTTGCCTTTCTTCCTACTTCTGCTGTTATTTCACACTGCTTCCGGTGATGTGGGGGTGCCGCAGACCGGATGTGCGTCATGTGACGCGCTTCCGGAGCCGTGACGCGTGCGTCCTGCGTCACCGGAAGTAGTACTGTACATGAGTGACGCTGCCCCATCCTGTGCTCCTCTCACTGACCACCAACGCAAAGAGGTGCTCCTTCCTGAAGTGAGGCGGGGGCCGGATAAATGGCCTCAGGGGGCCGCAGTTTGGGGACCCCTGCCCTAGCCCCTTGCTCCAGGACCAAGTGACTCCCTCCCTTGCCTAGAGCACCGTCCCTTCCCAGGCTCAAATCTCACGCCCTTCTTCCCACCATTTAAACTGTAGGCTGCAGACTGGTGGAAAAGCAGAGGGAGCCAGACACCACCTGCCAAGTTGTGATGAGGTCGACCTGCATGGTCTCCAGGGTTTGCACACGCCTGTGCCTGCTGCCTAGAGCTCGGCCTTCCACCGCAGTTCCCACAGCGTCTCCTTCAACTCCCGTAGCCTCACCTCCTGCTCCCGGATCTTCTGCTGCTGCTCCAGCGTCTTGTGCTCCTGTTCCTGCATCTTGTGCCCCTGCTCACTGATTTTGTGCTCCTGTTCCTCGATCTTTCCCTGCTGCTCCAGAATCCTGTACTCCTGGTACAGGCGCCTCCAGCATTTACTTTTATCCAGCTGGGTTTGGAGTTCTCCTGCCACTCTCTCAACCTCCTGTCTCAGGTGGCCTGCCTACTCCTGTAGCTGCTGCTGAAATAAATAGTGAAAGTGTTGGTTTAAACCTTAGAAGGAAATCGACTCATGAGCTAGTGATAGAAATGTCATCTATACAATAATGGTTTTCATCCATGATGCTTAAAAAACTTTTTTTTCTAAGTCCTAACCCTGAGATTCTGAGTCCCCAGGCAGGGCTACAATTTGTAGATTTTTAGCACACTCTAGAGAATTGTATGGTGGGACCAGCACCAGGACCCAGATTTTCCATCTCTGGGCTGCAGCCTCCCCATACCCGGCATGATCCCTAGACCATGGCCCCAGAAGCTCGGCCCTAGCCAGCTTTCTTTGCAGCTCCTGTACATTGAGCTGGACGCTGGACTTTTCGAACTGCAGGAGTTTAAGTTTTTCTTCCAGTTCGGTGTTTTTCCTCTGCAGCTCCTCAGTGATTATACTATGGCCAGAGGCAGTAGAGAAAGGCATGAACGAAGAACAGAAAGGACCGCTTTGCTCATCAACCCTCTACCCTCACCCCACAACCACCAAAGAACTGCGGCATTGGAAGGGACCCCAGGAATTAAAAGTCATAGGTGGCAGGCCAGAGAGAAGACATGAGTTGCCCGAGGCTACCCCATGAGTCAGTGGCACAGCCGGCACTAGAGCTTTGCTGGGCACACATGCAAACCTCTATGACCCCCTCACCATGCTCATCTGTACCCACCTCCCAGGACTCCACCCACGCTAAGGGCCCCCAGACTTCCCATCCTACCTTCCCCGGTCCTACGTGTTCCTGCACAGTTTCAGACTCGGGCCGTCCCTCTCCTTTGTTAATTCCCCGTTGCACTGCAAATACAGAAAGGTTAAGTCAGGATGCAGCAGACAGAGCAGCCGCCGGCCGACAGGAACAACGGCTGCAGTGACTATTCCACAGCAACACCTCCTCGCTCTCAGTCACACCTGGCACGTTCCCAAGGCATGCCCATGGTCTCCTTTGTTTTTCTTTTCTTTTTTTTGAGATGGAGTTTCGCTCTTGTTGCCCAGGCTGGAGGGCAATGGCGTAATCTCGGTTCACCACAACCTCCACCTCCCAGGTTCAAGTGATTCTCCTGCCTCAGCCTCCTGCCATGCACCATCATGCCTGGCTAATTTTGTATTTTTAGGAGAGACAGGGTTTCTCCATGTCGTTCAGGCTGGTCTCGAACTCCCAACCTCAGGTGATCTGCCCATCTCAGTCTCCCAAAGTGCTGGGATTACAGGTGTAAGCCAATGAGCCTGGCCCTCATTTGTGTTTCAAAGAACTCAGTAAGGATGGAAGGGACAGGGAAAGAGATTGAATTTACAGCTGGCTAATGATCCTGGAGAGATCAGATAATATTGCTATTGTTATGACTGTTATTACTACCACTGCTGGAATCTTCACTGAGTGCTTTACCAGGCACTATGCTAACAATCCCATTTAATCCTTACAACCACCAGGAGACGGTTACTATTATTACCTCTATCCCTCTATCATGCAGATGAAAAACATGGCGTATTAAAGGTTAAGTGCTTGCCTAAGATCACTGAGAGCGAGCTGGGATTTCAACCCCCAGGTATCTCTGATTCTCTAAGCCCATTCTTTCCTGGGGGTGGGGGCACAGATAAGGAGGAGGAAATTAATCTTGCTGACTTTTTGAAAGGACAGTATGTTCATATAGTCCAAAACTCAGAAGGTACAAAAGGGAAATATCTCCCACTCACTGTTCCCTTCTCCTCAGTTTTTAATGAATCCCTACAAACATGTTTTATGTATCTTACCATAATACACACACACACAAACACGTTACCTCTCTCTACACAAATGGTAACATACTACAGATACTCTTCCGCACCTTCATGGTACAAGTACCCTAACCCCCACCTAGGATTTGGCCAAGCCCACAGCCAGGTACGGGCAGGACGGGCACTTGGCCACCGAGCTCTGTGTCCTGTGCTCACTCCCTACAGCACCCGCAACTCACCCACAGCCTGCCTCTAACAACCACACACAAAAGCACCAAGAAATGGCCCGTGGTGCCTTCTGGGAAGGATGCTCCATCCTGCAGAAGGGACCTTTAGACTCACTCCTCCATCTGGGAAGCTGGGTTGCCAGGGGATGGGGCAGGTGGTTGGACTTACCCTGTCCGCCGCCTTTTTCCGTGTGGCGGTATCAGACAGAGCCCGCTTTAAGTCCTCCACGTGTTGGGAGGCACACTGCAGGAGTTCGGAGAGGTAACTGCCGTCTTCTGGAAGAAGAGAGGTTGAGAGGAGGCCCAAGGGACTCCCCCTAAAAGCCTGTCCAAGTGCCAGGTTGAAGGATGATGGGGTGCCCAGATTCCTACCTTCTAGCCACCTGGACACACTCTCCGTGAAATATACTTCTCTCTCCAGGGCACTGATTTTGTGAGCCTGAACCTGTGGGAGAAGAGCCAAAAACGTGCTGAAAGAGAAGCAAAGAAACCTCCTCCAGAGGACAGGTGGGAACTCCACACCCTCCACTCACCTCTCCCTGCCTCCTGAGCGCTGCCTGATGGTGGTGGCTGAGCTTGTTTTCCTACAGAAAGAGGAAGACAGAGCTCTTACTAGGGGGTAACAGAAATGGCACAGGGAGACATGCCCCCAAAATGCCACCAATGCCCCAGGACAGGACCACCCATGGGACCAGGTTATCAGGGACCCTGTGGGATGGGGTGGAATCTGGGAGGTGAGTCGTCTTCCCCAGGATCGGAGTGGGCGAGACAAGGCTGGGGCCTCTATATCTCAGTGCGACCCCAAACCCAGCAGTCATGTCAAGGGCAAATGATGAAATCACGTTACTTTATCCAGCTGAGCTCGGTTCTGTTGTTTCTATGGGGAGAGTCAAAGGAAGGTGACTGAGGGTGGCCCACTCGACTCTATTCCCCAGGTCAGGAAGCAGCAGGCAGGGGCTGGGAGTGGAGTTTAAAGTCAAAGTTCTCAGACCCAATGCGAACATAAACTAGTAAACTCTCCTCAAGCTCCCAAAGAAAGAGGATTTGGGTCTTTGTTGGTTTCACCCAGAGCCACAGAACTGAAAGTCTGAAACCAGATTCTCTCCGAAGGACAGTCACATCAATCTTCAGAGATGGAGCGTGAGAAAAGCCCACCCTTCTGCCAGCCTGTCATTTACAAAGGTGCATTCATTCAACAAACGCCGAGCACATACGGGTCAACTACGGCTCTTCAAGTGGGGATGTGGGACGGAAAAGGCAGGCAGGAGCCCTTGGCCCCGAGGTTTCCACCCTCATTGGCCTTGAAATCTTGGACTCTCAGAGCTAACAGAAACCTGCGATACTCTCTAACTCCACCTCCTCAGGAAACACAAGCCCAAGGAGGAGAGGTGTTCACAGCAGGCCCTGTACTAGGGATTAACATAAAAACAAGAACAAATCTCATAGAAACTTCACAAATGTTAAGTAAAACAATACCACCCCTATTTTACAGACATGAAAAGAGAGAGGCCCAAAGAGCTCAAGCAATTTGCCCTCAATCATATCCCTAGCAAATCTAGCAATAGGCTTTAAACCCAGGATTCTTAACCAGTACCCGGCAGTTCTTCCACAATCTTCACAGTTACCCTCTACTGTCCCTTGGACCCTCTGTCCCCTGGAGCCTGGCCAGGCAAGACTCACATCGTCAGGTGAGTGGCAGCCAGCAGAAGCAGTTCTCTCAGGGTCACCACCATTATTTATTTGCCTGTTGGTGTCAGTTACTCCTGGACCAATACCAGAGCTGTTGTGCTGATGATGATATTCTCTCAGCTGTGAAAAGAAGAGCAGTGATACTCATGAGAACTACAAGCCCCCACAGTCACATCCTACTTTACGGTTTTTGTTTTTTTTTTCTTGAAACAGAGTCTCACTCGTTCACCAGGCTGGAGTGCAGTGGTGCGATCTCGGCTCACTGCAACCTCCACCCCCGGATTCAAGTGATTCTCCTGCCTCAGCCTCCTTAGCTGGGACTACAGGTGCGTGCCACTGCACCTAGCTAATTTTTAGTTTTCGCAGACACCGAGTTTCATCATGTTGGCCAGGATGGTTTCGATCTCTTGACCTCATGATCTGCCCGCCTTGGCCTCCCAAAGTGCTGGGATTACAGGCGTGAGCCACTGCATCCGGCCCCTGCTTCACAGGTTTTACAAAATAATCTTATAGAGCATCTGATTTAATGCCACCAACAACTGTACGAGTGTTGTCTCAATCAGTGACTGAGAGGGACTGATACTGTGGCTAAAACCAAGGCAGTAACAGAACTTAAACTCAGTCTTCTGACTCCAGCCTCTGGGATTTTGCCACAAATCAGCAGCTGCCACAAACCAAAACCACAGAGGTAGAAAAGCAAATGTGACGGAGGCAGGAACGGTACACTGTGTGGTTCAGAGTCATACATCCTCACACGTCTGCTAGTGTTAAGAAGGCACCGGTACCTCTTCAACTTTTACATCACTGTATCCTCATGAGAGAAGGCAGCCTTTCTGCTAAACCTGAGAATGTAACAGAAGAAGTCAACCCAAGCCTCATTTCAGAGCGAAGTCTGGTATACTCTTAGAAATCGACGTGACTCTCATCCCTAAGTCCGTTAATGTTTTGTGTCTCTCAAGAGAATGAAGGGATACTGATGCTTCAGAAAGACGCCCCATATTTACCCTGCGGCACTCAAAGTACCCCAGCTTGAGATCAGATGAGGAAGATTCAAGCTGTCAACTTTAGTTTCTCAAGATCTGTTCACAGAAGAGAAGCAGATCTCACTCCAGAAACCACTGACTGGAAGGGCACTCTGGCCCCAGCACCATGGAGAATTCAAACGTGAGGTGGAGAACTCAGGAAAAATGTTAAAGTCTCTGGAGAGTAGAAGCCTAGGAGAAAACCAAACCAAACCAGTTCTCCCATTGCCACTCAGGGACACTGTCAACATTTTGAGCTCATGGGGGAGGTGTAGGCTTTTCACACTGTCAATGTCTGTGTTAAAAAGAGTAAGGCAGCCTGAAACCTTCACTCCTAGATCCAACGATCCCCATTTCTCTTTCAGCTGAAAATCTCTGCTGCAACCAGAGGAACCAGAAATAGGGCCAGAACACTGGGTCTTAACATCAAAGGCTGGTCTAGTGGCGGTAATGATAGTTCCTAGGGGGACTGTGGCATCACTACATCCCACTCCTCCATGGGGTGGTGGGAACACATCAGTGATGCCCGAGTTGCCACTTTGAGATGAAGGTGGTGCAGAGCCAGGACCCAGGTCCTTGGAGACACAAGCCCAAAGAGCCCAGGGAACTCAGGCATGGGGCAGCAGCAGGTGAGGGCCAAGTATTGAGTGGGGAGCCCCAAGAGTCACCTGCCCAAAGTTGCCCTAGGGAAACTGGTGAGGGCAGGCATTGGGGCACCCAGGTCCTTGGAGATGACAGTACAAAGAGCCCAGGGAGGTTGACCCTGGAGCAGCAGGAGGTGAGGGCAGAGTATGGAGTGAGGAGCCCCGGGAGTCACCCGGCTCAAAATCACCCTGGGGTGACTGGTGAGAGCAGGGGCAGGACTGCTAATGGGGTGGGGATGGCCGACAAGATTTTGGCGCACGGAGCCCAGAGGCACTGGGGGGGCCGGCCCGGTGTGTCTCAGAAGTGGAAAGGACTCTGGCAACAGTCCTGCCGTTACGGGGGGCCTGGGGCTGGGTTGGGGGTCCACCACCTGGTGTTTTACCTTTTCCTTGGTCCATTTGCGTTCTCTGCTTGCTTTGGACATCTCAGGGTGGGGAGGGAAGTGGGGTCGGGGAGGGACTTGGGGGTCAGACAGGGACATGGGCTTGGGGAGGGACGTGGGCTTGGGGGAGGGACATAGGATTGGGGAGGGACGTGGGCTTGGGGAGGGACGTAGGGTTGGGGAGGGAGGTAGGGTCAGGGAGGGACGTAGGGTTGGGGAGGGACTTGGGGGTCAGACAGGGATTCGAGGTCGGGGAGGGACGTGAGTTCGGGAAGGGACGCGGGATCGGGGAGGGACGCGGGGTCGGGGATGGACACGGGGTCGGGGAGGAACGAAGGGTTGGGGAGGGACACGGGATTGCGGGGGGACACGGGCTACGGGACGGACACAGGGTAGGGGCGGGACATCGGGTAGGGGAGGGATGTGGGGTGGGGAGGGACGGAGAGTTGGGGGAGGTGGGCTTGGGGAGGGAGGTAGGGTTGGGGAGGGACGGACACAGGGCTGGGGAGTGATGTAGGGTTGGGGAGGGAGGTAGGGTTGGGGAGGGACGCAGGCTTGGGGAGGGACGCAGGCTTGGGGAGGGAGGTAGGCTTGGGGAGGGAGGTAGGGTTGGGGAGGGACGTAGGGATGGGGAGGGACGTAGGGATGGGGAGGGACGTAGGGTTGGGGAGGGACGTAGGGTTGGGGAGGGACGTAGGGATGGGGAGGGACGTAGGGTTGGGGAGGGACGTAGGCTTGGGGAGGGACGTAGGCTTCGGGAGGGACGTAGGCTTGGGGAGGGACGTAGGCTTGGGGAGGGAGGTAGGCTTGAGGAGGGAGGTAGAGTTGGGGAGGGATGTAGGGTTGGGGAGGGATGTAGGGTTGGGGAGGGATGTAGGGTTGGGGAGGGATGTAGGGTTGGGGAGGGATGTAGGGTTGGGGAGGGACGTGGGCTTGGGGCCACATCGTGGTGATAACAGAAGAGGACAGTGAGATGTGTCCTCTCACCTACCACGCAGCTGTGTGACTGAGCCAGAGGCAGCGTAACCAGGGCCTCACTAGAACAGAGAATAGGGGTGTGGCCTGAATGCTTCAAGCTCATTGGTCAATGAGAAAGATAAACGGGAATGGAGGCGTGGCCAGGCAGTGGTGTGTCCTGAGGGACCTGTGGTGTCACAATGAAAGCTGCCCATGTACCAGCTGCCCCCGGCCACTCCAGGAGAGGGGCAGGGCTGGGCTTCACTTGAGAAACTCTAAAACTTTATTACCTCAAATCTATAGCATGCTTGACGATGACCAGACTGTATTATCCAACATTCCAATGAGATGAAATAATCACAATGATTTTTTTATTTTGGAAAAGTTTCTTTTAGTCTCCTACAATTTTAAATTTTTTTTTTTTTTTTTTTAAAAAAAGATACAAGTCTGCGGGGCCCAGTGGCTCACATCTGTAATCCCAGCACTTTGGGAGGCTGAGGTGGGAGAATAATGAGGTCAAGAGATTGAGACCATCCTGGCCAACATGGTGAAACCCCGTCTCTACTAAAATACAAAAATTAGCTGGGTGTGGTGGCACACACTTGTAGTCCCAGCTACTCGGGAGTCTGAGGCAGGAGAAATGCCTGAACCCAGGAGGCAGAGGTTGCAGTGAGCTAAGATTGCGCCACTGAACCCCAGCCTGGGGCCTAGTCACAGAGCAAGACTCTGTCTCAAAAAAAAAAAAAAAAAGTAAAGAAAGAAAAAAGAAAAAAAAGAAACACGTCTAACATCTTTAAAAACACAAAGCTTTTGAGCCGGGCATGGTGGCTCATGCCTGTAATCCCAGCACTTTGGGAGGCTGAGGTGTGTGGATCACCTGAGGTCAGGAGTTCAAGACCAGCCTGGCCAATATGATGAAACGCTATCTCTACTAAAAATAGAAAAACTAGGTGGGCATGGTGGCAGAAGCCTGTAATCCCAGCTGCTTGGGAGACTGAGGCAGGAGAACTGCTTGAACTCAAGAAGTGGGTGTTGCAGTGAGCCAAAATCGTGCCACTGCACTTCAGCCTGAGCAACAGAACGAGACTCTGTCTCAAAATAAATAAATACACAAAGCTTTCCACTGAATAAGTATTCAAAGCTCTTAACCAGTTTAAAACAAATACAAGACCCTCCTAAAGTGAGGCTGATTGCTAAGGAATGGGAGAGAGAAAAAGGACATAAATAACTCCTACTCTCATGCGGTTAATCACTAAATCCTATTTTTCCAGAATCACCTGGCCTAAGTCCTGTGAATAAACTGAATTTCTCACTTGATACTGGGCTATGACTTGCAATCATGAAAACCAAGAACTGTGTTATGTCACTGTATATTGCTTGTTACCTGAATTCCACATTAGGCTGGGATCAAGGGTTGACTTTTTCATGATTTGCTCCATTACCTGTGTGCTTTTATCCCAGACCAAACTAAGCTTTTTTCTGGAGTTCTATAATTTACAGCTAGTATCTAAGAGTGGTTCTCAAAAATGTAGACCAGCACCAGCAGCACCGGGGAACTTCTTAAAAATGCACATTCTCAGGCCCCACCCTAGACCTGATGAATTGCAAACTCTAAAGTAGGGCCCAGAAATCTGTGTTGCAATAGGCCCTCCAGGTGTTCAGGAACTGCTGGCATACAGCAGGTAGAAAACGGTGTTTCCTTCTGTAGATCCAAAGCCAGGGATACTGTATGTTCTGTCTCGGTATGAAACCATGACATAAAATGAAAAGACAGAAATCTCCTTCCTAGTCCCACACTCTAGCCAGTGTGTTTTATTTGTATGAATAAAATAAGAAAATGAGTAGCAATCAGCCTCATCTCACTGATTATCATTTACACCCTCTTACAGCTAAGGTTTTAGGAAAGGATCCTGACAATGGAAGACTCGGGCACACTAGGAGTTCTACCACAGAAGACCAAGGACATCTGAATGTCCAATCTTACTCGAGAAGAAAAGTGGAATCATTGCCTGTATTTCACACTGCATTGCCTATATATATCACACTGCATTCAACAGGAAATTGAAGTTTTAAATTTTTATCACCATCATTCTTCCCAGTTAATAGCATTAAAC